AGCATCCTCTTGTTGCTTATTTCCGGAACATTTGTCAATAATTTTAAATAAAAAATTAAATTAAACTTTAATAAGTAGAAATATTCATTAAATTTACATAATTATTATTCTATAAATAAAAAACTAATATTTCTTAAGCAATCTACATCAAATTATAGACCTGCTATATTAATATTCCTTGTATTAAGATTTTCATTTTATGACAATCTATTACTATATTGTACATAAGAATATTAGTTTTATTAATTATATGAGTTAAAAAATACATAAAATACTTCTTTACGTATTGATTGATTTATCGACAATCAACATGGTCTTCTTTAATATGTGGGTCTTTTATCTTGAGTTATTGAGAAGATGAATTTCGCGATTAAAGAAACACAAATTATGTGAGAAAAATATATTTTTATCATGTGAAATAATTAATATTTAAATATTTTCTATTAACCTATATTTATATAAATTAAAATAATAAATTATGTTCTTTTTATAATCAATACTTAAAAGAATATTTATAAAACACGAGAACATGTTATTGGATGTTATTTACAATTTATTGGATCTATTATTTATGTTTGTGCAATGATTAATTTATTAACTTATATTAATGGTGATCAATTTTATTAGAATTATATATAAGAAAAACAAATTTAAAAGGTACGATTGCTACAAAATATTATATTTATTAACAAATGGCTTGATAAGCTTATTTAATCTGCAGACATGAAATTAAACAAATGTACTGATGAACGAATTATAATAACAAAAAGAAAGGTTTAATTCACTACTGCACATAAGCATACATTTTTATAATTTATAAATATTTACAAAATGACTTATAACAAAGTATAAACTTTTTACAAAACTTCCATAATATTTTTAAGTACGTAAATAGAATTCATTTAGAAAGGTGTTTAGTCTAAAAAATGTAAAGTGTTCCTTTAATAGACTAAATATATTAGGTGTCAGTAGTTTGCCCTAATAGCAGTTAAGGTAGTTCGAGCATCATGCCAAATAAAAAAATACAATCTTTACAAAACATTTTTTTATATAAAAATGTTTTAACATTTAATGTATTAGATGAATAAATTTATAACGACTAAAGAGTATATTTAATGAAATTGACATTATCCATTTAAGTATGAAACCTTTAACATAAACTTTTAATCGATTTTTATCTACTTTATATTTGTAATATCCCTTGCTGAAATAGCACCTCTAAATCGAGTATTATCTGAGAATCTAAACTAAATATTATTGGTATAAATATTAATTGTTATGCAATATTAAAATTCATTCGGATATCCAGAAAAGCATCCGATTCAAGTCTTATTACAATAAGGATTATTTTCAAATCTCGTATACGTTTAACACATTCAATATGATTCTTTTTCAAATATTTAATTAATTTCGTATTTTATTTTTTAGTTATCTTATTGTATATACTATTTCCTAAGTTATTTCAGTGAATGAATATATAATTTTGAATAGATGCTATTAACATCGAAATTCATTAGCAGTTTAATTGTGATTTTTGAAGACTTTAAAAAAAAAAATTTGGTTTAATTATTTTATGTGACGCTCGGGCTGCCTTACTGCTTACATAAAAATTGGACTTGTACAAATATTGAAAATAAAATTAATATAACGAATAAATAAAAACACGTTGGTAAAAACACGCGTAAACAATCGAAACGAACGTGTCCGCAAATGATCACTTTTTAAAGGTAAATGTATGAACTGATGCAGCTGGCTTTATTGTCTGGCTTAGATAGGGCACATAATATACTTGCATTCATTAAAGATTTTGTGCCTAATCGACAATGGTTATTAGATTGTAACGCAGAAAAGCTATTTTGAAGATGTATAAAAACGTATAATTTACGACTAACTTCATCTTAATACCACTGAGATATACAATACTTGTATGATGAAATATATTTGCTATTAATAATATATTAATACTAGAATAATTTATATTAAATATCTATACCGTATCATAAAGGAACTATGATCGTATCTACTCGCATATTTTTCGTTAACCCACGTGTACTTCAACTAATCCATACGTAAATGTTTTAATTTTCATGACAGATCTCTGCTACATTTTCTTAACCTCATGACTCATAAATAAATTCTGTCCAATCAATATTTTAGATCCTTTTACACTAATTTTATATCGCTTAATAAAGGGCAAACAATAAAACCATAAAATTCCATTATATTGCCTTTTACATATGAATATTTATAACTTTATTGGACAAAGACCTTGTAGCTTAGAATATACTCCAGTATTTCATTCGGCTGAACATTCAACAATTGATTTCGATCAATCACTAAAGACTATAATTTGTAAAGGTTACGACATGTGCGTAGATAGCAAAACTTTTTCATAAAATGTTGTTTTAATGTTATCGACTAAACAATGACTCAACAGAAATACAATAATAATTAATTGCTTTATTATACGAAATGCCTAGATTGTAACAAATGTTAAGTACAATCACGATTAAATATATTGCTTTGAAAATTTGTCTGTAGATTATTCGAAGATAAATAGAGTATTCGACCAGCTTTGATGCTAAATTGCCAATACATTTTTATAAAAATTTTCTATATTTATAAAACATTACGTGTTCATCGCTTCAACGGTAACTTCATGGTTACTAGAGTACAGTTGTAACAACATTCTAACTACATTCTATGCTATCTATGTACATTTACAGGATGCTGTTTACAATATAATTTAATTAAACAATGCTTATAATTAACAAATAAAATAATAATAATTCTAATTATAAGACAGATCTATTATTAGAATTAATATTTATTTTTTATGTACAATATAAAGTATATGATAAGTCATGAGGTCAATGTAATTCTTTTAATCTGAGAATCAAATCAATAAAAGAAAAGTAACATTAACTAGAACTGTCAAAAAAATATTAAGACATGAATTTTATTCCGGATTGTATTGTATTAAATATCGACATAATAAACACGTATAAGTATTCCATAATCTTGTCTACAGTTCCAGTCTAACACTTTTCCCATAGATGTAAAATAATAACTTTGTTATTTATGCATTTTGCATAATTCAATACTTTCGTTTAAAATCATTTTGAACTGGATGTGCCGTTGAAATTGTTTACAATGAAATTCACATCAACATTCGGACACATTTTTTATAGATTTTTTTTCTATATGCAAATTAACAGAGAAAATTTTTTATTGCATTTAATGAATAAATATTTATACCTTTTTGGATAACGCTCATATATACATACCAAGAGGCACATATTTTTGCATAGTACGTGCTTTTAAATTATTCTCTCTTACCTTTACACTTTAAATGTAGAAATAAATAATAATAAGAATTCATATAAATTTCCATATGAATAATTTCAATAATATTTACGAGATAAGTACATTTTTCATTACAATATTGCATCCTGTGCCAGAGTACAAAATATTTTAAGGTATTATTGTTGTGTGACTGAAACTGATGACAACACAAATACAAAGAAAAAAAATGAAAAACCATGAGTAAGGAAACATAGGCTATAATATTAAAATACTAATTAGCATTAAAATGCTCAAATTGTTTTAATTTTGAAGAAATGTCTTTTCCTATCATTGTTCCTTGAAATAAAAAAGAGCAGTAACCGTAAGAGAACGAAACCTAATATTCCAGTGTGTTTTAACAAGAATACATTCTGGTTGAAATTCATCGAAATTCGATTATTCATTTTGATAATACAATTTTTTTTTTAACGAATGCGTTATTAAAATTTTACAAAGAGATTCATAAATGAAGAGGATTGGTCTTTAAGTATGACTAACAGTTCGAGCTGAGGCGTTTAGACGGTGCAGAGGATCTCAGAATGTTTTAAGTTAATGCTTTAAGTTGGATGCCTAAAGAATGACGTTTCTGTGAACTAAAACTTGAAAATACGTTAAAAAATGTATATCTTTTATTTTTAAAGTTTATTTTAAGTTTTTGAGTAATTCTTTAATAGACTGTACATTGTAAAACAAAAAAAAAACAAAAAAAAAACAAAAAAACAAAAAAAAAAACAAAAAAAAATATAACAAAAAAAGAAAAAAGCGCTTGAGAGATGTTAAAAACGGGTAAAAACGTTTGTCACTAAATTATCGACTGAACAATTATCTATTTTATGGGAGGTTAGATGTATATAAAGTCATTACTGAACAGGAAGACAACTACGAAAGTGACAGGTGACTGATTGCTAACCGTTGATAATTGTCAATTTATGGCTAAATTTTTAATCGGATGTCTAACCATGATGTGTTATAAATCTATTTCAAGAAAGACTTTAAATTAAAATGCAATGTCTTATAAATTAAAGCAAGCGTTATATTTTAACGAAGGACATAAATAGGCTGAAAGAAATTTTATTGTAACATAGTATTTTAATTAAAGAATTAAATCGATAAATTTTCTAATACCTTTTACTCTTAATAAAGCATAAGTTAATTAATTTTCAGCGAGCGAAGATAAATAAATAAATAACAAATGTTAAACATTACTGTTCGTGAAAAGTCATAGAAATAAAAAAAAAAGCAAGTACTTAAATAATCCCTTTTGGATATTTATTTCTTTATTTCTTTATTTATTTATTTATTTATTTATTTATTTATTTATTTATTTTTCAATAAAGTGCTGGATAATGGCTTCTCGAAGAGCATTATTATCGCTTAGCGTTGGAAACTATTTTTAACCTGGGCTATTTTCTTTTTGTACGATACGCGTCACGTAATCGAGGTCACTTGCATAACGAAGATGAATCGATAGGTATTTAAAAAATAAAAATCGATATAATGATTTTTGAACCAAGGATATTATATATTATATATGATACTAGGAAACATACTTGAGCATAATTGAACACATTAACCTCCTGGGTGCACAGCCGAATTAAAAAAAAGAGTATCCATCGATAGGCTTCGACCAGAATGTATGCTTTATTTATGCCGTATTTTTCCCTCCTGCGATATTTTTCCCCTTGTATGAAGTTTCATCGGCGAAAAAAAAAATTCAATCTAAAATATTTCATTAGCACAAAGGGAAGGCTAATGCAGTAGGTTGTCCACTGTCGTTACATCTTTCTTTTTCCACGAAGAGACTGGCATCCTTTGGGAACGTTAATCGTTCGAGCAATGTGGAGAACCTTTGCATTCCGCCATGCTATGATGCCGTGCCGCCTTTTCTCTCTCCTTGCCCCTACTTCTCCTCCAGCCTCCTTTCATCCTTCTCCTTATCCTTATCCTACTCGTCGTCGCCCGTGACTCGAAAGCAAGAGTATCGTTACCCATGAATTCCGCGCGAATCTCTCATCCTTTCTGTTACGCCATCTACTTGTTCCCTTTACTCTTCAGGCCTTGCACTTTACCTTTTGCTCGTGTTTATCTTTGAAAAAGTTCACTTTTCTCACACGTATAATGGAATCCCATACGGTTTTGCAGATTAACAAACACCGGTAGCATACGTAGCAAGATACAGACTAAAATAAATTAAGTACGACGATTATACTACATACGCTGGGACTCTTTACTTCGCTCTAAATGCTTTTACCTCTGTATAATATGCCTCCGTCCTTTAATACAACGCGCTGCATTCAACGGATCGTTCGAATAAAAGATCGATCGAGAAACGTTTCTTAATGCACGCCAAACCCCCGTTGCCGTGCTAAATCAGAGAATTTCCAAATCAACACAACGCTCTAGAATTACTAATATTTACACAACATGAAATAAATTATTACTAATCGAATAAGAGTTCCACATTTAACGAGCCCCCTGAATGCGAGCAGCGCGGTGAGCCGAAGGTGGCCGCAGCTAAGGCATTATACAGGAAGTAAAATAAATACTGTGTCGCGGCGCAAATTGCTCGTCTATCTAAAACTGCACCAAATCGTCCCGAATCTCTTTCACTTCGGACGCTCAAAATCGTTAAAGCGAGCCCCCGAGATAAGTAATTCTTCTAACGTTACAATATTGAGGGAACATTTTCCTTTGATACATTACTTTTGCTCTCCTCTAACCGACTCTTTCCGATCACCTGTCTCAAGTCCTTCTTCAAGCTGAATTGCTTTACGTCGCCGCTGCCTTTGCCGAAGCCGTCGCTGCTGCTATTGTTGCTATTATCTGTAATCAAATACTCATGAAATTACGTACTCGAGATTAAAATTTAAATAACTCGCAAAAAATATCGCCAAGTATTTTTCTCATTTTTATTTTCCTACGTTATGTAAGGTGTGCTTAGTGTAGAGCGAGTGATTAAAATTTGTCACGGAGATTCGAATTGGGATTAATAATAATATTTTCCTGGAGGATGTACTTGTCACTTTAAAACATCGCTGAAATTGAGTGCATTATTCCATGAAATGAATAAGAGACATTCAATCATGAACAGATGTGGAATTTGTTTTTTTAATAACATACATTTATTAAGTAATTACTCCGAAATAATTTCCTTATGAATATAATGGGTTTGAATTTTTTAGCTCATAAACTGGATACAGACTGCTATCGTAATAACTGTAATAGCCTATGCATGCAACATAACCTCTTGCGCGCGCGCGCTTACACAGCCGCACACGTATGCATACAATTAGAGGAAGTTTTGATTGACGGATCTGTGTTATGCATATATATAAGTTCATACACCTCGGTGTTTCAAATTTGAGTGATGCATAATCCTCTGTTAACATAATGCGTAATTTATAATTATTATGTAAACTCTAAACGTCAAATTATAATTTTGCAAATAAATATTGAAATTTAATAAATATTCAAATTACGTGCATGTTTTAATGTTAAAATAGAATAACATAAAATTTACACATTTATTTAAATAAAATTTTGTTATTTAAGCAGTATAATACAGATTTATAATTTAATACATTATTATCACAAATAAAATGCTAATGTATCTTCTTGGTGAATTAATTAATGTGTACTTTTGACTAAAACAATAAGTGAATCAAATATTACATTACGTTGTAAAAATGAAACATTCATTTGTAGTAAAAATTTACTTGTATAAAAGTTCTTTACAGCAATGTTTGCGACTAATACTTTCTTTTGTATTATTCTAATATTTCATCGCAATTTTTTGTAATTGAACTTCATGTGAATTTAAAAATAGCACTCAAAGTTCCATATTAACTTATGAATAAAGGCCACACATTTCATAAGGGCCGAAGAAAAACTTTGAATTGTGAAGTAATTAAGTGAAATAATCTGTTTGTTTTTAATGAATTTGTAAATTGAACTGTAAATTGAAGAATGTGGTGAGCATATTATAATTTAGTAACCATAATTTATTATCATTAATACGTATAGTGTTAATTTAAAAAATAAAAATATAAAAAAGGGTAACGAATCAGAGTCGGACTTAGCCTATCAAAATATTTGATTAATATGTATATTGTAATAAATATCATTTTAAAAATTGAAGTTGATTTATAATACAAAATACTCAAATGTATTTGTAATTGTTCGAGGTTCATGTAAATAAAGAGAAAACAATTTTGATGAACTTCATTTAATATGTTAAAATTCATATTAAATAAATATATAAATTAATATTTTTCTTAAACATAATTTATATCAAAGTTTTGTGTGTATAGTATACGGTATTTGGTGTTAGACTATTAATAACGAAGATTAGAATGTTAAAAGTATTAAGAATACCGAATAGATATATCGAAAGATATTTTATAATTGCAATCCACGAGACAAGGCAAGTATTCTCAGTAAATACATAGAAGCAATTTAATTTTTATTTAAATGCCAAATTTCACGATAATTTTATCATTAATATTGTATTCTTTATTTTACTTGGAGCTTATATCTTCTAATTTAGATGCATATCTCATTAATATACTAAATATAAAAGAGAACTGTGCACTTATCCAGTCGTAATTTTAATTATGTAAACAATATTTACATAAGAAATTGTATTTCTTATTTAAGTTGTAAACAAGTTGTAATTGTTATTTACTTGGCTATTTAAAGGGCTGTATTTGTGATTATATGTAAAAAAAAGTAGCACGATGGTTTTAGCCAATAGTATGTATTACCAAGGATAAAAATAAGACTTTATTAATTTAATGCAAGTAACTGATATAAATAAAATATTACTCTTTTATATGTCAGTTAAGTTATTTTCAAATACGTTTATCCTATACGTAACATTTTCACATTGATGCACAGGTGAATAATGGAAAAAGAGATTATATAATTTATAGAATTTATAAGAACAGTTTTAGCCGAGTGATTTAAAATGAGATGAGCATCCGTAACGAAGCACAGAGATATGAGAGCTACATAGAAACTACACATAAAATAGTTTATTTTTTCATATAGAAATAGAAACGAGTGCACAGTATTATTTTTAATCGTCTGGTTTTTATTTCTAAATTGATAATGAGGTAAGTGCTTATTATATGGCTAGCTGAAAAGTTTTTAATCAACTGATTTTATCGGCTTCCCTCTTTTAGCAACGAATAGACTATGCACAGTTCGGTCGGCTCTCGTAAACTAAAATTCTGACGGTGCTTATTCGTCATAATTAGTGATCATAACAAATGTTGAAGCAATCAGATCAGAATCAATGGTTGTGTGTTTTTCCGAATCACATAACACGCACCTCTAAAAAAGAAGAATGCCTCATTTACTTCAACTCCTCCTTCCCCATCATCATAATCGCTTAATAGATCCTAGCGCCCTACCACGTCCTTTGTACCAGGATTTGAGTAAAAGGAAAGGTACTGAAAAGCGATCGATTGCACCGAGTCGGACGGTTCGAAGAATTAAGTATTTAATGCAAATAATAATGCGCGAGACAGGGATACTTACGGAAGGGAGCGGGATCGTCGGCTTGGCAGGGCCCAGCATGGCGCGTCTCGAGGACGAGTCCCGTCAGACAGGCGTCTTTCATGATGTGGCACCAGCTAGGGTAGGTTATGTTATTGGTGGCGCAGAGAGCGATCGGCGATGGGTCCTGGTAGTCGCGGTTTCTGTGCCTGTTCCGCTCCCGGATGAGCTCTTTGTTCCTGGGGCAGCGGTAGAGGCAGGTCACGCATCGGGGCCGGTCCGTGTGGGGCTCCGCGAGGCAGAGCTGACCCGGCCGGCACTGGACGCTCGTGCAGTCCGTGTATTCTGCAATGCAGCAGCGCAGCCGACGTCGTTATCGCGCGGGTCGTTGCACTTCTCCTCCGTAGCGTCCCGCCGACACACCCACACACACACCAGCGAACGCACTTGAGCGCAAACGCAAACACCCGCACGAACGTGAATGCGAACTCGAGCACGACGTGCTCGCATTTTCATTTTCAGCATTTTCCCCGGCTCTTTCCCGTGCGACGCGCGTGGCTCGTGACAATCGTGACGCGCTCCCGGATGGCCCGCGGTAAAGGGATCATTAGGAGGCGCGCCGGTGAGTTCAATGCCGCCGAGGGCCCGAACGGTGCAGCCCATAGACACCCGAGATCTATCTCCCCACCTCCTCAATCACAACTGCCGACGCCGACACCGACACCGACACCGACACCGACACCGACACCGACACCGACGCCGACGCCGACGCCGACACCATGCCACACTCGAACGGTCGACGGCGACGACGATGGCAGAGTAGAATGCACGATGCATCATCGCCGATATGCGCGTTGGTTGTTTTAAAACGCTATTTATGACGGCCATTGTGATTAATGGTCCTGAAAGGACAGAGGACAGGAAGATCGATGCTCGTTTTCGCCCCCTCCGCCTCCGCCTAGTTGAGGCTTCCCTCATTTTTTTTTTATGCCTGGGAGCAAGGGTGGTCGAGATGCAAGCAACTGCAAGTGCCGCCAAGATAAATGACGGCCGAGCCACAAAAAAAACCAACTGACATTGGCGCTCACGTTAACTGGACGTCAGCCCTCGGCCTTCGCCCGCCCTTTAGCGAATTTCTTTTTTATTTACTAAGATCATCGCGGCGACCTTTCTTTCAACTTTGTATATCGAATCCCACGCATCGTTGCTCCAACTACTTGGACGAATATGCAGGACCGCGCGATCACGGGGGCGCGCGATTATCGCGTAATAATGCCGATACGCGTGCATTTTCTATTTCGTTTAGTATTCTAAGAGATTATTTGGCTTGCAAGATCTGACTCTGGATTATGGACGATCGATCGCGCGTGATGGAAAAGGAATGAAGTGTTCTTATTAATATTGAGACGCGTCGAGAGTGTGATTGCTTTTCCAATCAAGCGCATGCCAAGCATCGGTCACGTATTTAAATATAAAATGTTTTTACAATCTGTCTCTTAATTGAATTCGAGTACTATTTCGTTAACAGAACTAACCGTATTTTAAAAACCACCATACTTTAACGTAATATTACATTGCACGCTGGAAGAGATTTATGTAACAGGTATCATATATTAACTTGAATTTTTTTCTTTAAATATTTTTGTTTTGATACGATATAAAAAACGAGGATAAATGATTTATCTCTTGAATAATAAATTTATTAAATTAATGAAAATTATTTAGACGGTAAATATGATTAGCTGAATTAATGTTCACAAAATGATGTATTGTACATAATTTGAAGTAGTGAGAGGAGTAAGGAGAATATGAATTACATTAATTTTATATCATTATTTTTACTTTATCGTATAATTTTTAAAAATATTTGTAAAAATATTTTTAAACTATATAATTTTAAATTTCGATGATAATACTATAATCGACGGTGGCATTCCAAATAGTAAGAGTATTTACATTGTATTTAAAAATATTGTATATTGCAAAGTTTTGTTTGTATTTTTTTAATTTAATAAAATAACCAGTTTTATACTAAAATTATAAATACCATAATTATAGATACTTGTTATGAGTTAGTTATCATTCGGCAAACTTATTTGGCATAGTTGCATAATTGCAGAAAAAGAATTTCATAAATAGGTCGATTTCTATTTAAAGAAATTATTATAATTTCAGTCATGGAACCAAAAAACATGATAATCTATGATATTACTTGATCTATGAACATAGGTTGCAACGTAGCTGTTTGCTTATATGATCAAAAGTAAAACAAAAAAAATTTATATTGTAAATCAAGTATTACTTTTTCAAGAACCTAATCTTTTTGAAGAAATTATTTTATAGAAATGAAATTTTCTTTACACCTTTTCCGATTTAATATTTCATACTAATCGCATTACATACACATCCAATATATCATATGAAATTAACTTTTAATGATCATTAATAAAAATCAATATAAGTAAAAATGATTTAGGCTTTTATTTGCAAAAGAAGTTTTTAAAATATGTTCTTTAAAAAAAAAAAAAAAAAAAAAAAAAAAAAAAAAAAATGTTATACAAAGAAATGTTTAAAGTTTGGTTAAACAAATTGACACCGACTAAATTTTTATTGAGTCCATCATTGTAAATGCGATTATGAATAATTGATCCCATTGCTTTTAAGACCAATAACTTGATAAGATCGTTAAGATTTAGTTTTGTAAAGAAGAAAATTGTTAAAAAAAAATTGTATAATATTTTTAATTCATAGAATAAATATCTTGTAAATAAAAGATATCTTGCATGTATTGAACCGTTTCTTAACTGCAAAACTTAAACTATTTGACAAAGGGCGAAAGTTTGCACCCATTTCGACAGTATAAAACTGCGCGCACTTCGCATTATGCTTGTATACATTTTGAAAAAAAATTTTTACAATTTTTTTCTACTTTAAGTTCTCGTTTAAAATGAAATCCATTCATTGTATTTTAGCGGATTTAGATACTCAATAAGTATCGTGTCGCTAGCAGTAAAATATTGTCATAAGTATATATTAGCCGAGTTATAATAAGAATTATAAGTTTAAATAATTCTATAAGAAATATAAATTTTTATTGATTGTTCAATATTCAGATGAACTGATAAATTGTGATAACAAATAACAAATTATGAATGTTTAATTTATCTAGAAAATCATAGATAATACGAATGTAGATATATTATTAAGAAGTAATTAAATGACGTAATTTGTATTTTAATATGTATTTAAAAACTGCTTAGCATCAAAAAAGTAAAAGCTTATCTGTGGCTAACGGATGTGCAATCTTTGTGTAAATATAAAACATGTAAATTGAACAGTGAATCGAGCTATTATTTAACGAATATTTCAGAAATGCTCGAACCATCTTTTGCTTAATTTCAAAATCGTTGGAATGTTAAGCTACTAGAATTTTTTGACCAATTTTGATCTGTTTGAATTGCGCTATTGGCTCTAGGTTATGAGAAAAATGAAATAAAAATGAAAACACGATTTAATGCTAAAATGGTAACATGTCAACGTCTCGTAATTGCGTTTCATCATTATCTATCTATCTATCTATCTATCTATCTATCTATCTATCTATCTATCTATCTATCTATCTATCTATCTATCTATCTATCTATCTATCTATCTATCTATCTATCTATCTATCTATCTATCTATCTATCTATCTATCTATCTATCTATCTCTCTCGGAAACGCCAAGGAAGGTCGTCATCGAAAAATAAAAGAAAACAAAGGGGCGTCATTGAGGGCAAGGGGCCCGTCCTCCTACAGCTTAATCGGTGTTACGCGATGAGAAATATCAAACGGGGTCGGAGAGGCACACGCCGTTTAAAAAAAAAGTTGTGGTATCATCGATATGCATTATCGATTTCTTGCTCGAGCGGTTTGTGCCCGCAGGAGCGCGAAAAACGTCGTGGCTCGCGCGCATTGGGTCTATTTTCGGCTGGGCGTGTGTGGTGTGGGTTTTTGACCAGCGAAGCTGCGTGGGGCCGAGGGCGAAAGAGGGGAGGTGAAGGGCCAGGAGGAGGATGGGGCAGGCGTATACGACGACTTCTGCGGTCAACGACCGAAGGGCAAGGACGCCGGAAGGACGCGGGAAGGACGGCTGCGGACGCGTGAGAGTTCGAGACCGAGAGAGAGAGAGAGAGAGAGAGAGAGAGAGAGAGAGAGAGAGAGAGAGAGAGAGCAAGCGAACTAGAGCGCGGGGTGGTGGCGGTCGGGGAGAGGCAGACGAGGTAATGAAAAGTAAGGAAACTCACTGCGACAGGGCCCTCTGTAGGCAATGGCTATAGCACGCCCGGCCCGACAAGCCGCCGCCCTCAGGTGGCAGGCGCTCTTGTAGGTGTTGCCGTCGACGCCACAGACCGGCCGCAACGCCAGTCGCTGTTGCCCGCTGAGGCTGCAGCGGCGCGAGCACTTGACGCAGTGGGCGCTTAGATTCTGGTCCAAGAGGCAACTACGTCCGTGCCGACAGCGCACTCCCGCGCAGGAACCTGGACCGGGGCAGAAAGGCGAAATATAGAAGGCTCCTTAACGATGACGATGATTGCGACGAAGGTGGAGATGGACTGGGACGGTATAGGGTCTTGGGGAGAGAGAAATAAAGAGTAGTAAGAAGGGGTTACGGTAATGAATGAGGGGACTGCGTACTCACTGCGACACTGGCCCCCGTAGGCGACCGCGAGCTCGTGGAAGCCCTTCCGGCAGATCCGGCGTTTGAGCTTGCAGAGGCTGCGGTAGGTACGACCGTCGGTGCCACAAACGGGACCCGCGGCGATCGCCCGAGGCTCCCGACACTCCGGCCGGCAGACGCACTTGGGCATGCCCCGACGGAGGACGCAGCGTCGACCATCGGCGCAGCGCACCCCGTCGCAGCTCGCCCGGCAAGAGTCACACTTTACACCTCCGCCAAGAACCTGCCAGAAGAAAAGGGCCCCATTGTCGTAGTCTTCTTCGCTGTAGGCGCTCGTCTCGGGCGCGTTCGCCCCATTGCAACACTGCTCACGTGTCACACCCTGGGAAAGGATTTCCTTGCAGCGGCCGGCGCTGTTCACGTTCGACCAGCAGGCGCCACCTGCAACCAGAGTACGGATCGCGCGCTTTAGAGCCGACTTTCCGGGAAGTTCGCCGGTGAACTTTCGGTGACCCGCTCCGTCCCGCTCTCTCTCTCTCTCTCTCTCTCTCTCTCTCTCTCTCATAATTGATTTTTGCTTATGTTGCTTTATGCGTATCATCGGAAG